TGTGTGGGTGTGTGTGTGTGTGTGTGTGTGTGTGTGTGTGTGTGTGTGTGTGTGTGTGTGTGTGAGAGAGATTATGTGGGTGTGTCATTTCCAGTCAATCGTTCACTGCCAGTAGAAAAGAAAAAAAGTATAATTTACTAGAGTCAGAGTGAATATCATGATCTCACCATCCCGCACACACACACACACACACAGACTCTCTGTAGCTAAAGAGAAATGATGTAATTCCTCTTCCACGCCTCCTCCTTCATTATTTCTTGGATTGCATCTCCTAAATATGACTGTGATAGTTTTCTGATTCCTCTCCTGGGAGGCGTTTGATTAAATCATTGTGTTGAGTTGAGATGTGTTGGTGTTTAGATCTGACAGCATTCAGAAGTAGGGCACAGTAGGCGTCATTAGGAGGTCAGCGCTCTTTCTCTTATCATTCTCTCCTCCTCTGCACTTACAGGCATTAATATTACATGAGTATGAAAGATTGAGCATTAGTCCTCTGAATGTATTTGTTCATTTTTCTGTCTGTGATTTAGTTTAAGAGATGATAATCGTTCAGAAAAATGTTCTGAATTGGCACGATTCACAGCTGTTCTGTAACCTTGTGAAGTGCATGGAGATTTATAAGGTTCGTTGTCACATGCTTTAGCCAGTTCATGGCAATTAGTGTTCAAGCAAGTAGTCATGTAATGGATGAAGCGTTTTCAGAGAGAACTTGAGGTGCTAAGTTTTGAATTTACCCAAGCATGTGTGATATTTGAGAGGTATGACAAAGTGAAATATTGTCAGATAACAACTTAAACTGACTTCAGTTTCACAGAAAACTATCGTTTGACTTGAGATGAGTCAGAATATAGTACATGAGTCATATGTTTGTGGTGCCTTTTTTTCCCTTTTTTTGGACATTGATAGGCCTTCTTCACTAAATACTCTATGCATGTTTCAAGGGGAAAAAATTATTTAACCATCCCTTTAACTGCTAGTGATTCTTTTTTGCTCCATTGTTTATTTTAAGAAAAGTTGGATTTCCTGTCCTGTTCCTCTCTTTCTCAGTTCCAGCAGTAAAATCAACCCTGTCAGCTGCTCCTCACTCAAGCTGATGTGGTCAGCAAATCAAAAGTGTGTCTGTCGTCTTCAAGATGTCTACATTGATTCATGAATTATTCAAGCATTTACATAATGCACATAATGCACATACTGTAGATAAGAAGGCAGGTCATCAGGGTTAATGTGAGTGTGAAGTCAGAATGTATACTGTAAAAAAATGTGGGTTCGGTCACATTTCAAAATGCTTTTGAAAGAAATCCCTTATATATTTTAAAAAGTAATTTATTCCTCTGGTGTAAAGCTGAATTTTCAGCATCATTGCTCCAGTCTTCAGTGTCACATGATCTTCAGAAATCAGTATAATATGCTGATTTGCTGCTCAAGAAACATTTCTGATCAATGTTGAAAACAATTGTGCTGCTTCATATTTCTGTGGAAACCATGCTGCATTTTTTCCAGGTTTCTTTCATGAACAGAAAGTTCAAAAGAACAGCAATAATTTGAAATACAGATGTTTTATAATATGTCTTTACTGTACCTTTAGAGATGATCAGAAGAGGAGGGGAATATATATATATATATATACACACACACACATATATATATACATATATACATAAATGTAATTTACATTTTTGTTTAATTATTTACATTTTTTTTAAACTGAATACTTTTTAGAATAATATAGTTGGATACTGTAATGCAACATTTTGGCCCACAGCCCTCAGTCAAGTTTGATTTTTGGCCCTTCCTATTAAAAAGTTTGCGCACCTCTGCTTTAGATCCGTATTATGCATTCTTGCTTTAAACAAGTATTAATTTCTTTAAAAAAGATCTCTGACCCCAAACTTTTGAATAGTAGTGTATTTAAAATACATTGGTCTTACTGTGCACAATTCAAAAATTAAATGTTAGTTTCAATCTTTCATCAAAATGTAAAACTTGCCCCACCCTGAAACAACTTAACTCTCTTGCTGACAACAAATAGGTTGTGTGGGCTATTAGTATAGTCAAAGCCAATTCGGCAGTGAGGAGAGAAGTCCATCGTTCACAGTCCACTGCAAACTCAAATACCTGTAGTCCTACTTGAAAGAGTTTGCTGGGTGATTTCCAGGCCAGTCTGACAGTAGACACAGACTGTGATTAATAATATTAGCAATGTTGAGCAGTGCTTACATATTGATCATTCTTTTTTCAGTCAAATAGTGTATTATCCACCAAAACTCCCCTCTGGTTCTGGGTGGACAGATGATTAGTTAGCCATTACAGCTAAATCTTCTGCTATTCATGTTCATAACTAATGTCAATGTTCTGAGCCTGTCAGTTCAGGAAAATTAAGAAGGGAATGTTATGAAAATAAAAGCTGATGGTTTGGCTTAAAAATAGAGGACCAATTCTTAAAGGGATAGTTCCAGTTGTTATGAACCTCTTTGGCTTTAAAAACATCTCTTGTTGATATTTTCAAGCATGTCATACCCAGATTTCTACCGCCTCAGTGTCTGACAAAGCTGTAGATAAGTCAAAAGAGAGCCGTTTTATGCAATGTGAATAATAATGTGAATCATACCGACACAACATTACTGTCAACATGGGAATTAAGCAAGAGCAAAACAGGTTAATCTTCCCTGTTGAAAAAAACAGCATATGCTGGTTAGGTATGTTTTGACGCTGGGATGCTGGTTTAAGCTGTTTTTTTGCTGGTTTATGCTGGTCCTTTTGCTGGTTTAAGCTGGTCCTTTGCTGGTTTAAGCTGGTCCTTTGCTGGTTTATGCTGGTCCTTTGCTAGTTTAAGCTGGTCCTTTGCCAGCACATGACCAGCATAAACCAGCAGAAGGACCAGCATAAACCAGCAAAGGACCAGCATGAACCAGCAAAGGACCAGCATGAACCAGCAAAGGACCAGCATAAACCAGCAAAGGACCAGCTTAAACCATGCATCCCAGCGGCAAAACATACCTAACCAGCATATGCTGTTTTTTTCAACAGGGAATTCACCTCTCTGTAGTAACCTCATACTTTGAAAGGCGACCGTTCGTAATGGATTTGTGTGATCAAACAGGCTCTTAACATGGGTCGACATTAACATCACTAGAGGTACAGGAGCGGTAAACCCTCTCAACTTCAGATTACAGGAACAGGAAGATTAATGTCTGCCCCATTTACACAGTATTTATGTGTATCTATCTATCTTTCATAGCTAACAACATGTTAGAACAAGCTAACAACATGCTAAATCATGATAGCACCTTGTTAAAACGTGCTAGCCATGTGCAAAAACCTGCTAGCAATGTGTTAACCCATGCTTACTGTGCTGAAACACACGTGATATGTGCAAAAACATGCAACAACATGCATACACATACAGCAAAGTATTAACAAAGTGTTTAAACATGCTAGCAACTTGTTAGCCTACATGTTAAAATATGCTAGCAATGTGCTAAAACATCCAAGTAATGTGTTAAAACATGCTAGCAGTGTGGCAAAACATGTTAGCAATGAATTAAAACATGCTGGCAATATTTTTATTCTCTGACTTCTCTGAGTAAAACCTTTCAACTTAAAGCTTAAAGTTATTTTAAACTCTTTTAAAACTCTTTAAACATTCTTAATGGCATGTTTTTTTGTGATTTGCTAACTTTTGTGATCTCATTCTACACATGATTACAAAAACTTATAAGAGCCTGGAATGAATAGGAGGGTTTATTCATCTAGACTGTATTTTTGGAGCCGAAATATGTGCTATAAATTTAGCACAAACTAAAATAGCTGCCTTGTTGATGATGTTCACATGTGTCTCTGTGACAATGAAGCCAATCACTGCTCTGTCCCATCAGATTAAGGGCAATTCTTGAGCAACATTAAAATGAGCAACATTTAACAAATCTTTTGTAAGAAAAAAAACATATTTATTTTCAGTATTTTATTTGCAGCTGAAAAATCATATTTTCCCATATCAGTCTCCAGGACTGTTTTTAAACAGGTTTGGCCAATAAAGAGTGTCATAGTTATAGTAAACTGAACTGGAACATGTTAAAACAGCTCAATTAATCCAAGAAGATGGCCTTCATTAGCAGCGCAAACAGCATCAGGAGAAGCGTTTGAACTTCTTTCATTTTCATTGCTCTTTCTGGAAATCCTTCACTTGATCCGCCATTCATCACTTCTCATTTCACAGAGCTGCTTTGCTCTGAAGTCTTTGAAACCACATTAAGCTCCCCAAAACAGACTACACTCTCATTTTGACTGACTTTATTAATGTAATCATAATCATTTTGATGCTTTCTATGCGTAATATTATAAATAAATGTCCCTTCATGCATATAAAACTGATGTTTAAATTACTCCGTGTGTGTTATACAGATAAATGCTCAAAAATATGTCAGGAAAATGTATTTACATAGGCAGATCCACCGGAACGGCAGTCTGAGCGCGCGGGATGCAGCACGTCACACGGCCGGCGCCAAGCGCTACAAGTACCTGCGGCGAATCCTGCATTTCAGACAGATGGATTTTGAGTTTGCCATATGGCAGATGCTCTACCTGTTCACATCACCGCAGAAAGTGTACCGCAACTTCCAGTACCGCAAACAGACTAAAGACCAGTGGGCCCGGGACGACCCTGCGTTCCTGGTGCTGCTCAGCGTCTGGCTGTGTGGTGAGCACTTTTGATGGAAACATGGGAAGGGTTTAGAAATGAAACTTGTATCAGCTCACTAATCATGTTTTCTCTGCAGTGTCGACGGTGGGCTTCGGGCTGGTTCTAGAAATGGGTTTTGTGGAGACGCTGAAGCTGTTGCTGTGGGTGGTTTTCATCGACTGCGTGGGAGTCGGATTGCTCATATCTACACTCATGTGGTGAGGAGCCACACTCACTCACAAAGACTGCCAAAAATGTGTCTGATTTGGTATTGCTGATATGGTATTGATTCAGTTTTTTCAATTCTGGGTTATGGGATTTTCCTTTTTTTTTATTATTGTTATTAATTTCAGAATAAGGTCAATGGTCCATCTTAATTGCAAAGAGATATTTATATTTTTTAAAGTTGACATTATTCTTAAAATAAAACTGGACAGGGTGGTTATGACCCCAGCACAAAGCAATGTTGTTATCATTAACTGAAACTAAAACTATTTTTGTTTTTGGTAATTGAAATATATGGCTGAAATAAAGTAAAATATAAATGTTGAATACAAAAGGTAAGCTTACATACTAAAAACTAAAATAAGTCATGTTGCCTTGGCAACTGGTTGAAAAAGGTTTGTAAGTTAAAGTACTCAAAATCGGTCAAACTGAAATAAAAATGAAAACTTAAAAATAAAAAATGTACTAAAAAGTAGACATTTTTTTTAATTAAATGAGATATAAATATTGAATGAAAAATTTTACTTCAAAAACTACATCTAACTGAAATAAGTACATTTAGGTTAAAGTGCTAAAATTAATAAAACTGAAATAAAAAATGAAGTTAAATAGAAATATAAAAAAATACCAAAACTAATAAAAATGGCAAAAGCAAATGACAAAGTGACTAAAATTCAAATGAAAACCAAAAAAAAATTGTTTTCATAAGCCTTCAAAGTAGATACCAATGATGATCATAACCAATGTACATTACATATGCGGACTGATATCTAAAAGTTTTTTATTCTTATTACCACTATTTAGATTTAGAAAAATTTAATAAAACGTCAACAATAAAAAATGGCTAGCTAGTTTAAGTGATTATCTTAAAAGTTCATAGATATTGCTATTATTTAATACGGCTGTTAACACGTTCTCCGACAAGCGGAAACGATGAGACCTGTTTTCTGGGTTTGGTCAGGTGACGTTCGACATATACTCTACTGATCTGCTATTTAAGCTGCTGCTGCTTCTTTGATTAAATTTCTAAACGCTACTCCTAGAGTTTTCAAGCTACAACCAGCAAACTCAGCCCAGATCTTCAGACTGTTCTGACTCTGGTTGCTTTATCTTTTCAGACTGATCCGACTTAAGGTTTTCATAAAACTGAAGATTAAAAATCGATCTATCTATCTACCTCTCTCTCTCTCTCTATCTATCTACCTCTCTATCTATCTATCTACCTCTCTATCTATCTTTATCTA